GAAGCTTTTTTGAGGAGTGGGCGAACCACAGCCTGTTTCAAATTAGATGGAAAAATTCCTTGCTCCAACGATGCATTGACAATTGGTACAAACCAGTCAAGCAACCCCCCTCTGGCTGATTTAATGAGCCAAGATGGGCATGGGTCTAGAGATGAGGTGGTCGCCCTCACAGCCCCAAGAATCTCCTCAACGGTTTCAGGAAGAACAAGCCTAAAAGAATCCCACAAGATTGGACAAGCAGGTGCCTCCATCACCTCTTCTGGCACTGCGATGGAATTGGAGTCAAGCTCAAGACGTATCTGGGCGACTTTACCTGCAAAATGGTGTGCGAAATCGCGACACCGAGCTGCAGGGTCATCAGCGACCCCCTCCGCCACAGGTGGGTGGAGTAGTTCTCCCACGACCCTGAACAGCTCCGATGATCTATTTGCTGCAGATGCTATACGGGTGGTCGTGAATGATTTCCTGGCCATCCGTATAGCCACAGAGTAAGCCTTAAGGGAGGCTTTAGCCCGTGCTCGATCAGATACATCTCGAGATTTCCTCCATTTGCGCTCTAGCCCCCTTCTCGTATGCTTCATCACAGCCAGCTCCTCGGTGAACCAAGGAGATGGCCTGTCACGACGCAACGAGATGGGACGTTCGGGTGCGATCGTATCTAACGCCCTGGACATCTCCCCATTATAGAGAGCTACCAAGGCGTCGATAGAATCGCCAGGCTCCAGGGCAGGAAGAACCCTAAGATTCCTCAGGAATCCATCCGGATCCATCAGTCTCCTAGGGCGGACCATCTTAATTTGTCCTCCACCCCTGCGGAGGTTTAGGGTCGCAGCAAGTCTAAAGGTGATCAGATGATGGTCAGACCATGACACTGGAAGGATGTTTTGATCTTCCTCTCCTTAATCCCAAGTAACATGATCTATATAGCTAACTTTAAATAACATTTCACTCTCTGTTTAGATTACATGATGTATTAGAAAGGCAGAACAGAGATTGTATCTGGGAAGAACTTCAGAAAGAAGGGTACAGTTGTTGTCGAGTCACAATGCCCCCCCCCCCAAAAAAAGATTAATAGTTTATCAAGTTTATGAATTTTTTTAAGTTCTTTGAACTTTGCTGGTGTGCAGCAGTGGAGACCAGAAACGGACCAACAGCAGCTTCACCCCCCCCCCCCCAAAGACTTTATAGTTTCCAACCCTTTAATAAATTGTACCTATTTTTTCCTGACTTTGCTGTTGTTGTTTATTTGTTCAGTCACTTCTGACCCTTCGTGACCTCATGGACTAGCCCACGCCAGAACTCCCTGTCAGCCATCACCACCCCCAGCTTCCTCGGAGTTAAGCCAGTCACTTTTTCCCTGACTATCTGTGTAAATTGTATCTTTCTGTATACAATATCTATTTCTTTTATATAAAATGTATACTTTTCCGTATAAAATGTAGCAAGATGTAGCCACAGAAAAAACCCCTCTATATAACTCCGAAGAGCCACTTCCCAAACACTGGAAGGTTGGGCAAATCCCTCTGGCTGTTTTGCAGACAGGCAATCATCAGAATCAATTGTTCATATATGCAGAGATAGTTTCTCATGTCAGCCCAAATAAGCCAGGAGGTATTTGTCTGATTAAATGGTTCACTTGAGGCTGAGAGATTGCTGACCTTGGAAACAGATGCTTAGAGTGTGTACATTCAACCCATTTTGTTTGTTTCCATCTATAATTGTCCTCATGATGCACTTTCCCCCTGTCCTTAATAAAGCCAAACCCCACTGCTCCCTTCTTGGACTCCTCTCTCACAAATATACTTTTTATTCCTATCTCACCCAGGGTTTTAACATTTTATCTTGTGCATTTGGCCCACCTTTTCTGTTTCGATTTTATTACGTTATTTTGCACTGTTTATTGTATTTTATTTTGTTACTTTATGTATTTTGTTTTGATGTAATTTTTCTGTAGTTTTGTCTCTAACTTTGCTGTATTATTTTTGGGCTTAGCCCCATGTTAGCCGCTCTGAGTCCCCTTTAGGGAGATTTTGATGGGGTATAAAGATTATTGCTGCTGCTGTTGTTGTTATTACATTTGATAAACCTTCTGACTGACAGCCCAAACTTTGAATGCCCAAGATCCATCATCTTTTTTTTTTTTTTTGGAATCTTGTGTCTTTGACTGCAGAAACCCCTATCTTTGTCAAACACAGAACTGGACTGTTGAGCCAATCAAGAGCTTATTATCATTTATTTAAACATTGTCTTCACAAATGATGTCCCCTCCCAGGGGACACCCCACCAGCTGTTTGGTTCCTTGGCTGGCCAACCCCAAGTTGTCATCTCCCCATGATAGAGAATCCCCACCTGAAGGAAGCATCAGCAGCATCTTCAGCCATTCAGGTCTCAGATCCAGAACAGCCCCTCTCTCAGCCAATCAGGGAAGGGAGTGGGAATTTTGAATAGTTGTCAAACTTTATAAGATCTCTTGCATTCTCTGTATGTTTTACGCTTCTACACTTCGAAGCATCTGCTTGTATTTGCATCCCTTTTGGCTGAACTGGATAAACCTCTGTGTTTTGTCTTCAACCTGGTGAGTGTTTCTCTGTCCTGGCACATTTGGTTTAGTTTGCACTAGCTGGGCACAGATCCTTTTATCAGCAGACCTAGTTATCCACAACACAGTTGGTTAGAAAATGCACTGATAATAATGGAATAGACTCTTGAAAACAGCCAAATCTGATGCTGTGGTGATGATGTAAATTACTGAGGCCCCCAATATCAGAAAGGGGTCTGATATTGATTTTTTTTTGTCTTTCTCAGTAGGAGTAAAGCCCCTCCCTCCACCTGCCAATTTGTGGGTTTGACTTTTGCAGGTTTAATTCTTCATGAATTTGATTAAAATCATCTCTCTAGAAACCTCTAGATATTTTGCTGTAGTCTGTGGTCAGCCTCTAGCAGACACTAACCACAGAGTCCTGCAGGAAGAACAACAGCTGGTTTCTTTCCCACTTTCTTTCTCTCCACCCTCTCTTCAGAAATAAACTGAAGAGCACAAATGGGTTGATCAACCAAATAATCTAACACTACTTATATTCAACCTTCTGCATTTGGAAGTTTAACTTTTGTGGATTCATTTGTGGGTTAATATGGTCTTTCTAGGAATCTCTAGGGCAGTGGTTCCCAAACTTTTTTTTGGCCATGCCCCATGTAAGCATCTCTAAAATCCTGATTCCTCTCCACCCCCAACCCCCAGTGGCATATAATTCTTTTTTTTTAAGTGAAGTCCTATTTATGCGGAGGAAGTCTGAAAGGCCATTAAAGAAACTTCCAAAGGACATCACATTCATGAAAGAAAAATATATAAAAGAACAAAAGGACAGTTGAAGTACTGAGGAAGTAATCATAGAGTAATAATTTAAATAATAAAAAATAACAACATGAAAAAGGCAAATAAAGCTTCAAAACATAATAGAGAACTGAAATTCATAAATATAAAAATAATTTTAATGGAAGCTTTTTCTGTAATACTTTGATCATTTTAATTAATATACATAAGTACTTTTTGTATAGCTTGCAATGTTTAAAGAAGAAGAGTGGGATGTTTGGAATGAAAGTTGCCTCCCTTTTCTGGGCTTATGACCTCTTTAGTTCAGTGTATGCTCTTCACACTCCTCTCTAGTGGGCTTTCCCCCTCTCCATTGTCACCAGCTAACCATTGTTTACATTCTCAATTTTAATTTTAAAATTGCAAATGTCACAATATATATTTATATACTGTATATAAGGCCCTTAGAACCATAAGAAATGCAAATAACTGTTAATAACTCATTCCTGAATTGCCACCCTTAAAATCAAATTGCCCCCCTGTGTGGCACATGCCTCACATTGGGAACCAGGGACTTCATCACACTCCAGCATGGATCCGCTTTAAATTTGGTTTCTGCCTCCTGCAGAATTCTGGGGCTTGTAGTTTTGGGAGGGGCCTTTAAACTCCTCAGTCAAAGAGGTCCCAGGGCTCACTAAACTAGAAACTCCAAAATTCTGCAGGAGGCGAAAACCGGATTTAAAGTGGATCCATGCTCTAGTGATGAGGGACTTTAGGGCCTCCAATGTTACTCTTTTAGAAGTTCACCAGTGTCACATTGGAGGACCAAGAAATTCCTAGAGAGGTTTTGGGTTGTTGTAGGGTTTTTTCAGGCTGGGTATCTGAGGGCCCTTCCACACAGGCCAAAATCTCAGAATATCAAAGCAGAAAATCCCACATTATCTGAGTGTGGACGCAGGGCCCTTCCAGATAGCCTTATATCCCAAAATATCAAGGCAGAAAATCCCACCAATAATACTCTACATAAAAATTGCAATCAATGTTTCATAATATAGTAAATTTAGTTGTTGTAATTCAGTAAAGCTGTTATATTGCTTTGTCTTCATTCACTTTCACTGTGTTTTAAAATGAATATCGTGCCAATACAGCAGATATAGGCACAACCTGGGGATCACAACCAGATACAGTGAAGACATCTGCCCTTGCGCTATGCTACTCTGCTGCTGAGTACGCATGCCCAGTGTGGAACACATCTCACCACACTAAAACAGTGGATGTGGCTCTTAATGAGATATGCTGCATTATCACAGGGTGTCTGCACCCTACACCACTGGATAAATTACACTGCTTAGCCGGTATTGCACCACCTGACATCCGCCGGGAAGTTGCAGCCAATAGTGAAAGGACCAAGGCAGAGACATCTCCAGCTTATCCCTTGTTTGGGTATCAGCCAGCACGTCAACGACTTAAATCAAGAAATAGTTTTCTTAGATCTACAGAGACACTCGCTGGAACACCTCAGCAAGCGAGAGTCCAAAAGTGGCAGGCTCAAACCCAGCACCTCAATCCGTGGCACCTCAATCCGTGAGAGACCCCCCCAGCCAGGCACACAGAAGACTGGGCGACTTGGAAGGCGCTGAACAGACTGTGCTCTGGCACCACGAGATGCAGAGCCAATCTTAAGAAATGGGGCTACAAAGTGGAATCCACGACATGCGAGTGTGGAGAAGAGCAAACCACTGACCACCTGCTGCAATGCAACCTGAGCCCTGCCACATGCACAATGGAGGACCTTCTTGCAGCAACACCAGAGGCACTCCAAGTGGCCAGATACTGGTCAAAGGACATTTAATCAACTACCAAGTTTGCAAAATTTGTGGGTTTTTTAAATCTGTTTGTTTGTTTTGTTCTGTTAGAAATGTAATACAATGTTCTGGTTGCGGATGATACAATAAATAAATAAATAAAGTAGATATAGGCAAACTTGGGTCCTCCAGGTGTTTTGGACTTCAACTCCCACAATTCCTAACAGCCTCAGGCCCTTTCCTTTTTCCCCTAAGTGGCTGAGGGGGGAAAAGGAAAGGGCCTGAGGCTGTTAGGAATTGTGGGAGTTGAAGTCCAAAACACCTGGAGGGCCCAGGTTTGCTTATACCTGCTAGAGACCCACATTGGAGGACTTAAGAGAGGCCCCTGCAAACGAGTACCGGAAGTGCCTATAGGGAAGCGTAAGCATGTTGCCGCTCATCAGGTGGTGGGACAGGAAGCGGAATGACGTCACCCGTTTGCTTCCGGTGGCGGTGCTGCTAAGGGGGGGAAGGGGGGGAAGTGGGGGCTGGCTTCCGGGCGAGGAGCCCCTTCTCACCCTCCACTCCCTTCTCGCTCTCATCGCCACCATGATGCCTGTCTTCAAGAGCAGCCGGCGGGTCTTCGCTTTCGGGCCTTGGAAGCTGACGGCCGCCCGGACGCACATTATCAAGTCCTCCGAGTCCGAGAGGTGAGAGGGGCGCTAGGAAGGGCCGCCGCCCCCCTCTGGCTTCCTCACATCCGGCAAAGGGGCCTTCCTCGATTATCCTCAGTGATTGTTCTATTTGAGGAATGCGAATAACCCTTAATGCTCCAACTAACACATTCTGTACACCATGCGTGTGTCTACACTGCAGAATTGATGCGGTTTGACTCCCTTTAATTGCTGTGAAATCCTGGAAGTGGCTGCTTTGCAAGGTCTTTCGCCTTCTCTGCCAAAGAGTGCTTGTGCCTAACCAAACTACAACTGGTGGGGCACCAGCACTCTGCAGCAGGCTATGGGCAAACTTGTGGGTGTTTTGGACTTCAATTCCCACAATTCCTAACCGCTGGTACTGAGAAATTAAACCGCCTCCTTGTTTTCATCCAGGTTAGCTGAAGAACTACACATGCCATGTGTTCCAGAAATGATGTTTGGAGACAACGTCTTAAGGATTCAACATGAATCTCTCTTCGGGATAGAGTTCAATGCAACTGATGCTTTAAGATGTGTAAACAACTCTCAAGGAATGGTTAAAGTTGCCTGTGCAGATGAATGGCAAGAAAGCAGGTAATAATATACACGTATCTACTTTAGATAAAATAAAAAAGATGCAGCGAGAAGTGATTTGACCCTATAATTTGTGGGTTTTTTTTTGTAAGCTTGACTGCTCTTTTCCCTTTCATTAAATCCTTATGCAATTTTCCTGCCTCTTAGCAAGGGGTTGTGCATTGTGCACAATGGAGGACCTTCTTGCAGCAACACCAGAAGCACTCCAAGTGGCCAGCTACTGGTCAAAGGACATTTAATCAACTACCAAACTCACAAATTTTGTATTTTGTCTGTTTGTTTGCTTTGTTCTGTTAGAAATGTAATATAATTGACTGGTTGCCCTGACACGACCAAAAAAAAAAAAAAAAAAAGCAAGGGGTTGGACTGGATGGCCCACGAGGTCTTTTCCAACTCTATGATTAATTAGTTTTGTACATTAGTTCCCTTAAGTTTTATGGTTTTTGAGTTCAAAGTTCCAGTCTACATAAGAATTGCTTGCATAGTTATGTGTCAAATTCATTATGTGAATCCACTCAGTAGCATATATGAAAAAGCCAAATAATGTTTAAGACTAAAACAAAATGTAGTCCATTCTATCATACATCTGGTAGTCATTTCTATATCTTTTTGAGCAATCACAACTTGGCCCTGTACCTGTTTCTGCTTGTTGCTGCTTCTTCTTGTTGCACATTTGCTTGTTGGTAGGTGGAGGCTGAACCTTCAGTGCCATTGCCACAGAACTCGATTTCTCAGCATGGTGCCTGAATTTCAAAGTGGTTGTCAGAGACTCCTGCAGTGGCAGTAGTGGCACCACAACCATAAATATGAATACCAAACAGTTTATGTGGTTGATATTAACTTTAGTATGAAGTGTGTAACAATGGGACATTTACCATAATTTGAAGCATAATTAAGTATCTGGTGGAAAGTTAATGTTGTGTGTTAGATTCCATTGGTAGGAAGCTTCAGCATCATATTAGAATATACAGTATGACATCTGTATGTGTGGGAGATATAGTATTGGACTTTGCTTATGCACAACTACGGATAATAGCAGGCCCTATTGAAATAAAAGCCTTCTAGCCCAGGCATGCTCAAACTTCAGCCATCCTGGTGTTTTGGACCCTACCGGCTGTTAGGAATTGTGGGAGTTGAAGTCCAGACATCAGGAGGGCTGCAGGTTGCCCATGCTTGTTCTTGCCCATACAGTCACACTGGATAATCTAGAAAATGACTAGAGGACATACTTTGTTGGACATGAATAAATAATACAGTGGCTACTGCTACTGTGGGTGTAAAAGTTACAGTAGTACATTGCTCTCTATCATCTATAATACCACATTTCATTGATTGTAAGACCCCATTGAAGCTCCGATTTGGGGGCCAAGAAGTATTTTTCATTCTAAAATGCCCGCTTTCATTTGTGCCTTGATTTTTTGAAAGTAATTTTTTTTTAGTCTTCAACTCAACTTTACTTTACTTGCTGCCCAGCTAGTCTGGCCAGACTACAGAAAGTCTCCCCAACCCTGCACCTGATGCTGCCATTGCCTCCTCAACCACACACCTTTTGTGTGGTCACCCCCAACTGCTCCTGGCTCAGTACAGCCAATGTGTACACAGCTTTCTCTCCTTGGGCTCATGTTGCCGGGTTTATTTGAAAGGACAGGATTGGGGGCAGTGGAAGCAGTTGTGGCTGACTGTTTTGTTTGCTCTCATTTGGACTGTAGGAGAAGCAGGACTGAGGTTTTCTCTTTTCTTGGAGCTGGAGTTTTTTGCCTGCAGGTTCCAGTTTGGAGTGGCTGGAAATCCTGGGCTCCGATCTAAGGAAGGGGTCTGCATTGAGTGTAGGGTCAGTGAGGTTTTCGGGGGATTGGCCTCCTGTTCTCTCAACCACTGCTCCTGATCCTCTTTTAAAAACAAACAAAAAACCAAACCCACAAATCTAGGACATCCAGAGGTCTAAGGCACACCCCCTTTTTGAGCCTGGATTTTTGGAAAAAAGTGCATCTTAGAAATACAGTGAAATAGGTGGAATACAGTAATTAAAACAAAATATTGTATATTGATAATTTTATTCGAGACTTAAGAATATTTGGATATTAATGGATAACATGAGCGCCACGGAGACAACACTTCCGAAACTTATATAGTAGTGTCTATTCGTGGATCTGACATGTTATACAATTGTTTGTTTCCTTGAGGTCTGAGCCTGAACATACAAAGGAGGTTGTGAAGCCATATGATTGGACCTATACAACGGACTACAAAGGGACTCTTTTAGGTGATGCATTAAAACTAAAGGTATATTTTAAACTCTGCCTTGGTGGTTGCATACCTTGTAATTATGAATCTTAAATTATTGCTGAACATTTTAAAAGCTTTTGACCTTCTGTCTTTTTTCTCCTTTAGGTTTCTCCCACAACAGAGCATATAGACACAGAAAAATTAAAAGCCAGAGAACAGATTATGTTTTTTGAAGAAGTGTTATTGTTTGAAGATGAACTTCATGATCATGGCGTTTCAAGCCTCAGTGTAAAAATAGTGAGCTGATCACTCTGTGTGTCTTATATCCTATAGTAGAAATATGTTTAGTTTCAGGTTTTTTTAAAAAAATAATAGTGATGCTGGTAATAAACTCATGTTTTCCAACACAGTTTTTGTTACTGTTTTTCAGCCAGCACAATAGACTTCAATTGCAGAAACATAGTCTTGCTGCTTCCCCTTTATTTCCTTGTTTTGTGTTACATGAAAGCTTAAGAGAAGCTCATTATATTGAAACCCCCTTTGTTTATGGATGCATGCACCTTCAAGTCATCTGTTGACTTATAGCAACCTCACGAATTTCCTGGCAGCATTTATATTTAACTTGTTTAAGATACTTGTATTACCCTCTTATGAAAGCACATTTTGTTGCTCTTGTACAAATCTAAATTTGACCTAGTGAGCATCATTACTTTCCAAAAATGTGTGTTTTCTTGTATCATAGTTAACTAAATCTTTTATAAAACTTTCCTCTAACTGTATACTGCAGACTTGTTAACTGCTATCAAGTTGACTTTATAGCAACCTTATGAACTTGCAAGACTCCTTGTCATCAAAGCCCTGCTCAGGTTTTGCAAAGTTGTTAACAAAAGATACACTGGATCAAAAGTGGTTGTGTTTTATGTCACAGTTTACCTGAACTAAGAATGACTTCAATAGTGAGGCAAAACTTCCTTGCCCATTCATTTTCCCTATTAGCTTTGTCATATCTGCTGATTTATTTCTACGTGAAGTTAAATAATGTATATAAATATTCCAATATGAATTACAAGGAAGATACTGTTATTGACAAATGCAGGTTGGAAGACAGTGGCCATGTTTCTAATCTAAAGATTTTAGAATAAAACTTGCAGTTAACGTGAAAGTCCAAATTATTTTGTTTTTGACAGAGAGCAATGCCTTCAAGCTTCTTCGTACTATTGAGGTTTTTCTTGCGAGTTGATGGTGTTCTTATCAGGATGAATGATACAAGGGTTTATCATGAGGTAAGAGCATTCCAGTATGTAGATTTTATTGCAATAGTTATAAAAAGTGATAAAATATTAGTGGTTGGATTTGAAGTTTCATATGCTAATTCTTATTATCAGGTGTTATGATGTAACACCCTTATTGATGTAAATGGTTAGCTATATTGTCATAATTAGTTTACATAGGCTCAAGGAATGTTAGGAAATCCATCCTCATTTTTTTCTTACATGAGGCCCTTTCATTATAGTCCACTGATGTAGTAGTGTGTATTCTGTCTGCTACACAGGTTTCAACTAAAAACGGCTTTACTTTCTGCTTCCATACTGCATTAGAACAATGCTTTAATCCAGTTCTTAGTCCCAACTAGAGTAGATCCAGTGGATCAATAGTTTTCATAACTATGGATTTGCCATGTTGACTGAGTCGGTCTACTTCATGTTGGAATCATAATTGCATTTAGGTCACAATCTTTTTAAAACAGGCAAAATAGTTGTTTTCATCTATAAATAGTAAGGTAATGTGACCTAAGTATTGCTATATTTGTCTTGCCTGGTTGCTTTTTTCTTGTATTCTCTGTTTAATATTCAACACATTTAGATGTACAGTCAGCTCTTCACATTTGTTGTGGGATGGAGCCCCATAAAAAGATATAAATAAAATATTGTTATTTTTTAAATCTGATATTTAATATTAAAAATTAACTAGGTATTTTTAATTAGAAAAATGTGAGTCAAGCACTGAAAGGGTAAAATGTACACAATGACTCGGCAAAGGCTGCAGTTCAATATAAGCAGGTGTGCCTGTAGCTTAGTCGCCTCAGTCTGTGAGAGGTCTTTGTGGGAGAAGGGCCTCAGTGTGTTAGTTGGCGTCAGTATGAGAAGGCCTCAGCGTTAGTTCGCCTCAGTCTGAGGTGGGTGTCACTCTGAGGTAGGTGTCAGTCTGATAGAGCCCTCAGTGTGAGAAGGCCTCAGTGGGAGAAAGGACGCAGTGTGAGGTAGGCCTCAGTATGAATAGGCCTGGTGTGAGAAGCTTCGGTGAAAGAAGCCCCAGGTTGAAGGCGGTTGCGTGTGAAGCTCCATTGTGTGAAGGCTGCTGTGTGAAGCTCCTGTGTAACTTCGGTGTGAGAGGAGGCTCTGTGAGAGCGAAATTGTTTATCTGCATGAGAAAGAAGCCCAGTGTGGAAGCAAAGAAGAAAATATAAATAACTTTAATGTGTCACGGAAACCTTGTTTTTGTAAATAGTGCAACCATATTATTTTGCTATACAGAAAAACCTCCTATGGAAGAGGTAACATTGGTCTGTGTGGTTTTGTTCTTTTTAGCACTTCGGGCTACTGGGACTGGGTCATACTGCTGCTGATAAGTTACTCTGCTATACATTTATGGGGAGGGTCTTTTGTTAACAAGCCCACTTATCCAACAAACACTTCTCTAGGAATCTCTAGATCTTCCTGTGAGACTCTTCTGAAAGTTGACTATAGAGAAACTACAGATTTCTAGAGAGAATATTTTAATTAAATCAGCAAAAACCAAACTTTCAGACCACAAGGGCCAACTGTAATGGATTTTTTTTGCTTATGTAGTTGGAGTAGCATCTTCACCAGAAATTATAGTAAAGTGTGTTTAATGCCTGTTACAGCAGATGACTGTTCAGAATAATGTACATTTGAAGGGTGTAAGAAATCAGTGCTCTGCATTAATCTGACAATTGTTTAAATCGGTGTTAAGTTCATACAATTACATCTGATTAATGAAAGATGTGATTGCATGTAAAATATTGCACCATCTTATGAAATTACATTTCAATTCTCTTTCTTATTAGGCCAGCAAAACCTACATGTTGCGAGAATATACCTCCAGGGAAAGCAAAATATCAAGTTTAAAGGTATCAATTCTTCAACTGTGATTGATTGCGATTAATTATTTTCCTTTCAATTTTGTAACTTCCTAGAATAAATCAAGCACTGTGCGGTCAAGCACTGTGAAACATTACCTTTTCTGAGAATTTACTGATTTATTTTAAAAGAAAAAAATTAGCAGTTCTACAAATTTTATACAGCAGAAATATATAATGAAAATAAAAATATTAGTAAGAAATTCTAAATAATGTAAGTGTAACTGTTTTTTAATGATAAGGTGAAGCATTATTCCCCTGGCTCTATTTTGTTTAATCCTCTCTCTCTTTTGGTTTTTAAGCATGTTCCTCCACCACTCTTCACGGATCCTAATGAGATTGCTCAGTATTTACCTATCAAAGAGAGTATTTCTGAGAAGCTGGAGTTTCCAGAAGAAGTGTGTCTTCAATCTAATACAGCATCAGAAGGCACTTAAGTGGAATTTACACAATTAATGGACTTGAAACAGACTTTTTTTGTGGGGACTACATACCTTTTGGCCATTACAATTGAAGTTATCACTACTTGCTGGATACAGGTCCATGTGGATGTCTAATATTTTTCTAGCCTTGGTTGGGAGGAGTGGAGCCAATTACAAAGTTCTACTTAAGTTTCCATTGTCTCTATTACTTGAGTCTAATGACAAATGGATTGAGAATTGGGGTAACTAGCAAAGAATGACTTTTCCACTAAGCATTTGTACTTGAAATATGCAGCATTTCAATAACTTTTGGAAGATTTTGGAAAAATAGGATTTGTTTAAATTTAAACACGTCTTGTGAATTTTGTTTTATCTTAGTCTTTTATTGTAGAAGAACCCTATTTCATCTGATGGATGCTGAGCATGCCTCCTCTCAAGCTCAAGTCTGCCCAACTTGTACAAGAGTCATTTATGCTTGATAAGATTACAAATCTCTAACATATCCTGGATGTTTTATCAATCCTGTGAAATGCTTTTTGTTTTCTTTAAAAAGTTACAATCTAAGGAAGAGATGAATAGTAAGCTTAGCCAAGAATTGATAGCACAGTGGGATGCTATTCTCCCATTTGACATTATTCTAAAGCGGGATAGTAACAAGGGGCTGCTCACTGAAATCATTTGCATAGTATTGACAGTATCTGAGAAAATTACCTCTTAAAAAGAGCATCCGCTGATTGTCAGAATAGAGAAATGTATGTGAAATATATGTAGAGGCAGTGACTGAACCTACTAAATGTTAATGGGTTACTGCAGGTTTGTAACACATCTGGTTTTAAATTATTGATATTTTAACAAAATTGCCACAGGCATATTTGTGTTCTGACAGCCTCAATCAATTTCCCTAGCTCTCCTGATAAGTGCGGTTTTTCTGCAAGGTGAAAAACCTGTGTTTTATTTAGTCTTCATTTCTGACATGAAGCAAATCATAGTGTGGCAGAAGAGGGGAGCTTTTTAATTGAATCTTTTTTCAGGTAATCATTCTTTTTATCTTCCTCTTCCCATCCTGAAGTGAGCATGAAAAGGATTTTGGGTTATGGTAATATTACAAAAGCAGTAAAACATATATTGCTTCAGTCTGTGATGACAGTGAGCTCTCAGAATGGGTATCTTTCTTGTAATCGCATGTATTTTTAAGCTGATGTGACTTTTCTTAAGAAAGGGAAGAGTGAGCAACAATAATAGGGCTGCTTTTTCTGTCTTCCTTCATTCTGTGCTTTAGTTTCCCATGCTTTTAAAAGGGACACATTTCACAGAGAATTCTGAGATACACTACAGCCTTATGTACATTTATTTCCTTACTATTTAGAAATTTCCATAAAACACCACTGGAGTATGTTTGGAGCAAACATACACAGGGCTGGCCTGCTAAGTGTTAAAGCATGTTAAAGTTATCACGAAAGGAACAATGGCAAGATAGTTACTACTCAACAGACCTTTATAAGAAAGAGAGTGACTTGATCAATCATTTGAATTATTTCACCTGAAAATTGTTCCTCTAAAGAATGAGTATATTTACTAAATGAAGAGCTTATGTTTTGACACCAGAGCTTTTTGAGGAAGAGCTTACCAAAATTGACATTGGCCAAGAGCTTGTATATTTTTACTGTAGCGTGAAGATATGCCAGTGTAGTTACACTGAATCCCACAATTGTTCTGTATGTGCCAAGGCTTTGTTGTGCAATAACTGAATAGTTCCTCACCAATAAAAGTTGAGAGGACTATGTTGCACTTGTAGAATGACTGTCTGTACCAATATTGCATGCTGCCAGTCAGAAAGGGTTAACTGCATGTGCAAACTCTTCTTATGTTTGTGTACTGTTCTTAAAGAGTCCGGTCACTGTATTATTTTTTTTAGGAATTATTCAGTTGCTCATATACTGCATCCAGTGTTGCCTGTGTTTTGTTATTTAATAATTGCTGTTCATAAGTCAAACCAGATGATAGTTCTTGACATTAGAGGGGGAAAGACTAGGATGCAAGAGCTGTTCATTTCCAGGGTGTTGACTGAAAAAGAAAGACCCCAAAACTTAATAACACACAACTCCTCTCAGTATGAAGAAATTGTATTGTTTAGTGCTTTTTAAATTTTTTTCAAATAGTAAAAAAGTGACAAAATATTAGAACTTGTGTCTTCCATTGTACCCTTTGCCCACTTACAAGCATATCTGAGTCCCATGTACAGTATGTATGATGGAGTGGAAGGAGACCAGAACACTTATGCTAGAAATTTCTTCCCCATTAGTCTCAAAGGTTCCTCTGGATTCCTTTGTCTTTTATATATCTCTGAATACATTTTTGCTGAGGGCATTAGATAAATCAATTTCAGTTATGTTTGATTCAACACATACAGCACAGGTGAGTGGGAAAGACAATTAGCTTCCTATATGAAGTTGGACTATCTCCTTATTGAATATAATTGTGTATACAGCTTGAATTCCCTTATGCAGAGTTCCGAAACATTCCAAAACTCAAAATTACTCATATGGTGAATTATACAGTCACACCTTTGCTTTATGATTCAGTGTACACAAACTTTATTTTATGCACCAAATTATTGTGTATCAAATTCCTTTCAGGCTATGTGTATAAGGTGTATATGAAACATACATGAATGCCATGTTTAGATTTGGGCCCCATCTCCAAAATATCTCAGTATGTTCGTATGTAGAAATGCAAGGTATTAAAAATCCAAAACAATTTTGATCCTAAGTATTTTGGATAAGGGAAATTCAACCTGTACTTTATTTTGTAAAAGATTCAGAGAAGTCTTCTCTGAATAGGAATTGTTATACTAACAATTTCCCAGTGAAATTCCAGCATGGTGTGAGAACCAATGTGGTTTAGTGGTTTGAGATATTGGACTAAGACTGGAGAACAGGATTCAAGGCCCCATTCATCCACGGAAACCCACTGGATGAATCTGGACAATCCACACTTTCTTGATCGCCTTGAGTCACCTTCGGGCTGAGTAAGGCAGGATACAAATACCGTAAATAAATGAAATAAATTGACCTCAAAGGAAAGCAAAGGAATTGAACAAATCCGGCTAAAAACACCTCAATGCTTAGAGTTGCCATGAACCAGAAACAACTTGAAGGCACACTGCAACAACCTGAAATTAAACAAGCTAAACTTGGATGGGATGCAGTACCTTCAACTGGAGAAGCCCAGCTGAAATGAAAGGAAGCTTTGTTGTGTAGCTCTCCTTCACTTAATGGGATTTGTACTAATGCACTGTAGTCTTGCCTGCATTTAAATAATTAAAACATTTTTTAAAAAAGCTGGACAAATGTTTAATGGTTTATACCTATAGGCACTTCTTACTAAATAAAGTGGAATGTCATCTGATTGCTTTATTAACAGACAAGTAGCAACAATTTGTTTTAGGTTTCTATTGTCTCTCTACACACCTTACTCTGGATTTTCTGTAAGTAGCTACATCTGTGAGCTTTCCTTGGGTTGTAAGGCATGTTTCTCAAACTGCTCCAGGTGCTTTGGACTTCATCTCCCAGAAGTCCCAGCCAACTTACCAGTTGTTAAGAATCGTGGGAGTTGAAGTCCAGAACATCTGAGGGAGCAGAGTTTGAGGAAACCCTGCTGTGAGGTATAGAAATGGGATTGTACACCATAATCAGCACAATTTCCTACTTACATTTATCACCGTGGATTATGAAGACATTGAAATAATTAAAAAATATACCTTTGTTCAGTCATAAAGTGGAAGCTGTTACCAAGAAATCAGAAGTTTTGGACTTTGAAGTTCAGCTATCAAGGAAACAGATAAGATCCTTAACTCTGAGATACATGCATAATTAAACACGAAAGGGTTGTCCATGCCAAAGTATTTCCAATTTCTGGGTATGGTTGTTGCAGACAATGCAGAAAGGTGATGAGAAAGTTCAATGCGTGAAATGATGTAGTGATGGATACGGCTATGGATACCATAGTTAAACAACAAATGAATCCTACAAGAAATCCAGCTTGAATTCTATTGCCTTTTGAACATATGATGAGAGGACGTTCTTGTTAGCAAAGGCAATGCTTAGGATTGTGGAAGGTAATAGGAAAAGAGGAAGATCATTTTACAGTTGGATCAACACAAACAGGAAAGCCATGGAAAATCATTTGCAAGACCTTAACAGGGTCTGTTGAAGGTCTCCCATTCATGGAAGTCACCATAAGTCAAAACTGACTTGACAACAGCAACAACCAATGCTGCTGCAGGATTCTCTGTGTAAGCTGTATTGTATTGTTTTTGGTATTTCTAAAAGACAACAGAAGATGGCAGCATCTGTAGTATAATGAACATATGGATTGAATCCCTCTATTGCATTGATTCCCAACCTTTTTTTGACCAGGCACCACTCTCCAACAGTAGTATCAAAAGGGTTATGAATCAGTTTTTGGGCAACTTTAGATTGGGTTTGGTTATTTGGGGAGCTGATTCAGGAAACTGAATTAGGTAGATCACATCAGCTCTAGTTTCTCATACAGAACATATGCTATCCAGTAGTTGCCATCTGCTTGTCGACAGGAAACCATATTTAATAATCTAGAGCTGAGGTCTCCACTCGGGGAGGAAGGAGGAGGAAAAGCAGCAGTGAGGCTTGTTGCCATGCCTTCCATGGGTAGTCAGCCTCTCCCGTTCCAACATCCCCATTGCCTCGGCACTATTAGAGGGTTTCATGAGGCTAGTTGCTCCTGTTGCAACGGTGTAGAAATAGTGAGGCCGTGGACCATATTTTAGTTCTTGGGGACCACTGGTGGTCTACGGACTACAGGATGGGGACCACTGCTCTACTGGAATAAAACTAAGAGTACTAACTGTGTGATTTCTCATGCCATAAAATAAAACTAGTTGTGACCAGATGTGCTTTTGTATTTAACATCCTTAGTTATCTGTCTTCATGTTGACTTCCGCTTATGGTGATCCTATGAATAAGTGAGCTCCAAGTCAACCTCAACCACCCAGCTCAGTTATTGCAGATTTAGGACTGAAGCTTCCTTGATTGAGTCTATCCATCCTTTTCTACTGCTCTTTTTGTACCTTACCAAAGATTATTGTCTTTTCTAGTAATCATGTCTTTGCATATGGACAAACTACAACAATTTTAGTTGACACATCTTGTCTTCTAAGGAGACTTCAGGCCTGATTTCTGGGGATTGTTCATTTGTCATTTTAGCAGAACGCTTTATCATTACGTCATGAATGAGTGGTCTCTTTTTCCTTCATAGCCGCTTTTTCCAAGGCCTAGTCTTTTGATACTACACATACATACATATTATATACATATACATGCGCACACACACATATATACTCTCACTCTTTAGTCAACACAGCTACAATGAGAAAGAGTTGAAAAATCCTTTAAGGCTAACCTATGAGGCATATGATTCCAAACTCTGGTCCTCCAGGTGGTTTGGATTTCAACTCCCAGAACTTCTGAGTGTTGGCCAAAGTGGCTGAGGCTGCTGGGAGTTGACGTCCAAAACACCTTGAGGACCAGAGTTTGGGAATCACTGATTAAATCTGTTTTCCACACCTCCATATAAATAATTTTTACTTGCTCTCCATAGATGTTTTGAGTCCTAATTTGTTTCTCTTTACCCAATTGTATGATGTGGGAAGAGCTAGGAAATATGATATATATATGAATATTAATACTATATTTAAATGTTTATTAAGCTAGTAAATTTTACACACACACACACACACACATATACACACATATATACACACAAATTATTTACTAGCTCAATTGGCCTTTATATATAATAAAATATTTAAATGCTAATTGAGCTACTAAATGATATATTTGTTATATTGTTAGATATCATTTAATTGTATATACACACACATCTCATAAAATATTTAAATCATGCTAGCAAATACTATATATATCTTTATTTATATATATATATATATATATAGAGAGAGAGAGAGAGAGAGAGAGAGAGAGAGAGAGAGAGAGGATGACATTGTATATTAAAAGGATAACATCTAAAATATTTAAATGTCTATCTAGAACAGTGGTTCTCAACCTTCCTAATGCCACGACCCCTTAATTCGCTTCCTCATGTTATGGTGACCCCCAACCATAAAATTAGTTCCATTGCTACTTCATAACTGTCATTTTGCTGCTGTTATGAATAGTAATGTAAATATTGGATATGCAGGATGTATTTTCATACACTGGACCAAATTTGGCACAAATACCCAATACACCCAAATCTGAATACTGGTGGGATTGGTGGAGGGTATTGATTTTGTCATTTGGGAGTTGCAGTTACTGGGATTTATTGTTCACCTACAATCAAAGAGCATGCTGAACCCTACCAACGATTGAATTGGGCCAAACTTCCCATAAAGAACCCCCATGACCAACAGAAAATACTGTGTTTTCTGGTGGTCTTTGGTGACCCCTCTGACACCCCCTCGCGACCCCTCCAGGGGTCCCGACCCCCAGGTTGAGAAACACTGATCTAGAATATATATATATATACACACACACACATGCATAAGACATTTAAAAGGATTGCACATATATATCTATATCCACAATCCTCTTAAACAAAAGGATAGAATATATATTATATATTATATTATATTATATATTATATTAAAAGGATGGCATAAATGCCTATCGATCTAGACCAGGGGTCCTCAAACTTTTTAAACAGAGGGCCAAGTCACAGTCCCTCAAACTGTTGGAGGGCTGGATTATAATTTGAAAAAATTATGAATGAATTCCTATGCACACTGCACATACTTTATTTGTAGTGCAAAAAACACTTAAAAACAATACTATAATTAAATGAAGAACAATTTTAGCAAATATAAACTTATTTAAGTGGGAAGTTGTTATTATGGTGTACTTTCAAATAGTTTCAGACTTAGGTTGACGCTGAGCGAGGGCCAGGTAAATGACCTTGGAGGGCCGTATCCGGCCCCCGGGCCTTAGTTTGAGGACCCCTGATCTAGACTATATATACTGATATAAACACACTGTGCTGTTGCACGCTCGGCCTGTGCATAAGACTGTAGACAGGACATAAATTCTGTGTGCCCAACGGGACGCCGGGGCTGCCTCAGATTAAAGGCCCTTGGATTCCCCCAAACAGAGTCTTTAGATTGCTTAAAGGTTCAACAATGTTCTTTATTAATGAAAACAAACAGGTACTTTCAAGCTTTCTTAACAGTCTATTGGCTCTTGCAATCTTGTTCACTGGGAACAGGCACTATCTTCTTAACTAATTAACTAATGGGGAAATCCTTAACTTCTAATCTGGGCAGTCTGTACTTGCCTCTGTTGGCGTGGAGCCCCTGCACCCGGTACCAACTGCGTCTGGCTTCCGCGAGTGACCCTTACCAAGCAGAGCTTTGTAGACTTCCAGGGAAAAGGAGTTCAGGTTTCAGTGATGGCTGGCTGAAGTCCCTCAGCAAAGGAGCTGTAAGGCTGTATGATCCTCGGCCAAGCTGTGGGCTGTATATCTCCCCGGCCAAGCCGTAGAAGATGAAGCTTTCTACAGGAGCTCTTGGTATTATGTCCTGCATGGAAAGGCTTCTCTGTGTGGACTGAACCCAAAATGGCTCCTATTCCCTCTAAAACCCAAAAAGGAGGCGGGACCAGGGAACCTAACTATAATTGACAGGTGGCTTATTATTATTATTATTATTATTATCTTTATTTGTACCCTGCAACAAGCAATAAACAATACATCAAGACACTATAAAAACTGGGCCGGGCCAGAGTAATGGGTACAAGATTAAAAGAGGTATGTAAGGATTATGGGGTAAGTGCAGTGTCCAGTGTGCGGCAATCTTAGTTCTACTAAAGTGCTTCTGGGACTTGTTATTGGAGATTCCTAATCAGGAAAGGCACATCGGAACAGCCAAGTTCTTTCTAAAGACTGTCAGTGTAGGGGCCTGCCTAAGATCTTTTGGGAGGGTGTTCCAGAGTCGGGGGGCCACCACAGAAAAGGCCCTGTCTCGCATCCCCACCAAGCGCGCCTTCGATGCAGGCGGAATCACGCGCAGGGCCTCTCTGGATGAACGAAGTGAATGCGTGGGTTCATAGAGGGAGATGCGGTCACGCAGGTAGGATGGTCCCAAACTGTTTAGGGCTTTGAAGGTAAGCCCTATGATTGCAGCCAAAAGAAGCCACCTATCTGCAGAGTCCCTGAAACTTAGGACTACAACAAACATTCAATGCAAAGCAAACAAAATTGGAGCTCCTGGTACAGCTGTACCTGCACACACACACACAAAACATTTTAAAGGATTGTGCATATATATCTAGATCTTTCTGCAATCCTCTTTAACAGAATATTAAAGGGATAGCATAAATATAAAATTTTAAATGCCTATTATCTAGAATATATATACACACAGACACACGTATATAAAACGTTTAAAAGGATTGTACATGATACCATATACATGTATATATACATGTTTAAAATCTTAAAAGATGATGCTGTCAAGGTGATGCATGCCATATGCCAGCAAATATGGAAAACACAAGAATGGCCATCAGACTGGAAAAAATCAACTTATATCCCCATACCAAAAAAGGGAAATGCGAAAGACTGCCCCAACTTCCGTACAGTGGCCCTTATTTCTCATGCCAGTAAGGTAATGCTCAAGATCCTGCAAGGAAGACTCCAGCAATACATGGAATGAGAGTTGCCAGATGTTCAAGCTGGGTTTAGAAAAGGCAGAGGAACGAGAGACCAGATTGCCAATATCCGCTGGATAATGGAGAAAGGCAGGGAGTTTCAGAAAAACATCTATTTCTGCTTCATTGACTATTCTAAAGCCTTTGACTGTGTGGATCATAATAAACTGTGGCAAGTTCTTGGTGGGATGGGCATGCTACCAAGCCACCTTGTCTCTCTCCTGAGGAATCTGTACAAGGACCAAGTAGCAACAGTCAGAACTGACCACGGAACAACAGACTGGTTCAAAATTGGGAAAGGCGTACGGCAAGGCTGCATCCTCTCACCCAACCTTTTTAACTTGTATGCAGAACACATCATGCGATGTGCGGGGCTTGATGAATGCAAAGCTGGGGTACAAATTGCTGGAAGAAACATTAACAACCTCAGATATGCAGATGACACCACTCTGATGGCCGAAAGCGAGGAGGAGCTGAGGAGCCTTCTAATCAAGGTGAAAGAAGAAAGCGCAAAAGCCGGGTTGCAGCTGAAAATCAAAAAAACCAAGATTATGGCAACAAGAATGATTGACAACTGGAAAATAGAGGGAGAAAATGTGGAGGCCGTGACAGACTTTGTATTTCTAGGTGCAAAGATGACTGCAGATGCAGACTGTGGCCAGGAAATCAGAAGACGCTTACTTCTTGGGAGGAGAGCAATGTCCAGTCTCGATAAAATAGTAAAGAGTAGAGACATCAGACTGGCAACAAAGATCCGCCTAGTCAAAGCCATGGTATTCCCTGTAGTCACCTACGGATGTGAGAGCTGGACCTTAGGGAAGGCGGAGCGAAGGAAGATCGATGCTTTTGAGCTGTGGTGTTGGAGGAAAGTTCTGAGAGTGCCTTGGACTGCGAGAAGATCCAACCAGTCCATCCTCCAGGAAATAAAGCCCGACTGCTCACTGGAGGGAAAGATACTAGAGACAAAGTTGAAGTACTTTGGCCACATCATGAGGAGACAGCAAAGCCTAGAGAAGACAATTATGCTGGGGAAAGTGGAAGGCAAAAGGAAGAGGGGCCGACCAAGGGCAAGATGGATGGATGGCATCCCTGAAGTGACTGGACTGACCTTGAAGGAGCTGGGGGTGGTGACGGCCGACAGGGAGCTCTGGCGTGGACTGGTCCATGAGGTCACGAAGAGTCGGAGACGACTGAACGAATGAACAACAACAACATGTATATCAATCTCCTTCTGCACTCCTCTTAAACAAAAGTGCCCTTGCAACAACAAACATTAACCTGGAAGTTGCCTCCCGCTTCAGTTGCCTTTTGACTCCTTCCAACAAGTCACTGCTAGGCCAGGAAATGACGTTGTCTTTAGAGAAAGAAAAAACGGAGCCCCGCCCCTCAGGTGTGCCCGAGGGAGGCCCATACAGCCTACACTTCCCAGCATGCCTTGCGTTAGAAAGGCAGGCTCGAAGCCGCGGGCGTGAGAGGCGCGAGGCGGGGCGTCTGACTCTGGGAGTTGTAGTCCTGGGCTGCCGCGAGACCAGAGCGAGCGGGGCGACCAACAAGCGCCTGAAGGAATGGACAAGCTGAAGCGAGTGTTGAGCGGGCAAGACGCCGAGGAGCCGGGCCCCTTGGCCGAGGTGAGCGCCTCTCTCTCGGCTTCCTTCCTGGGAGGCAGGCTCCTTCTCCCGGAGCCGCCGCCGCCTCCTCAGGCTGGACTTTCCCCTGCTGGGCGCCTTCCTCCTCCTGTTGTTGCTGCTGCTGCCTCCGCGGAAGCCTTTTAGGTCCAGTCACAAACCAGAAGGACCGGCCCTTTGGGATGTTTATCCCTTTATTTCAGTTTGTGTTGATTCCTCTCCCTCCCTCCCTCTCCCTCTCCCTCTCTCTCTCTCTCTCTGTGTGTGTGTGTATGTTTTGACTACAGTTCCCCTCATCCATGACTATTGGAATTGACTGGGGCTTTGGAATTTGAAGTTCACCAACTTTGGGATCTGATGGCTCACTTTCCAAAGCTTCTCAGCCAGGAGTTTCTCTCTCTGTGTGTTTAGGGTGCATCTGCCACAGTTTGAGAACCCTGTAAAAATGGGACAGGAAATCCAGATGAGACCCAGATGTTGTTGGGACTTCAACTCCCCCAAACTCCCAGTTAATGCCAATAATCAGGGAATACAGTCCAAAATTACAGGTTAAAAGGTCCTGTAAAAAAGGGAAAGGATATCCATATAACATCCAGAGATCTTTAGACTTCAGATGTGCAAATCAATTCAGTTTGACCCTGCTTTAGTGCCAAGGTTCAATGGCATGCAGTCATAGGAGTCATGGAAGCCACAGAAGAATTATGACCTTGTGAAACTACAACTCCCATAATTCCATAGCATTGTTCTATGTCAGTTGAAGTGTGGATATTAATGCACTTTGGCCCCATTTTAAATGCCAAGGCTCAGTGGTATGCAATCATGGGAGTTACTCTTTGGTCTTGTGATCATCTGGAACTTCCAACTCTCATAATTCTTAAATTGTTTAAATTGTTTTTAAATTGTGTTCGATTTTAGCCTGTTCTTGTAAGCTGCTCTGAGCCCCAGGGGAGTGGTGGCATATAAGTTCGAATAATAAATAAATAAATAATAATAATTCTGTTGCAATTGAAATGCTCATTCTCTCTTCCTTTTTACAGGGCTTCTTAAACTGTGATTTGTAGGTGTGTTTAGACTGTGTTTCCCAACCTGTAGTCCATGGACCACCAGTGGTCCACATGAACTAAAATATGGTCTGCTGACTCACTGTTATTACATCATTGGATTGAGAGCGACTGGTCTCGTGACACCCTCTTATAGTGCCAAGGCAATGGGGATGTCAGGAGGGGAGAGGCTCACTACCCACGAAATATTCCTACTACCACATCAGCTCTAGATTATTAAATATGGTTTATTGTGGGCAAGCAGATGGCATTGGTTCTGTATCATAAACTAGAGCTGATATGGCCTATCCAATGCAGTTTTCTGAATCAGCACCCCAAATAACCAAACCAAATCTAAAGTTGACCACAAACAGATTCGTAACCCTTTCGGTACTACTGTTGGAGAGTGGTCCCTGGTCAAAAAAAGGTTGGGAACCACTGCCCTAACCCATGACTTTTGGTATTAATTGGGGTTTTGGGGAGTTGACATCCAACAACATTGGACCTCATTTGGACTTCCCATTCCTTTTTTATAGGGCTTCTCAGTCTGTGGTTTTCAATTTCTTTTAGATTTCTCATTCCTTTTTTACATGATTTCTCATTTTTTCCCCCTCCGTTCCAGACCATTGTCACTGATTGGGGCTTTTGGGAGTTGAGATCCAACAACTTCTAAAGCTTATATGGATTTCACATCTCTTTTTAAAGTCCTTCTCAACCGGAGATTTAAATTTTTTTGGCTGTAGCTTTCTAAATCCCTGACAATTGGCATAGGCTGACTGGGATTTTTGAGATTTGAAGTTCAACATCAGGAGCCACCTTTCCTTAAATTAAGAACAACTGCTGGACCAGTGAATATATTGGTCCTCTCCTTGTATCGCTTAATTGCCCCCTGTGGTGCTGACCAAAAAGTTGATGGTTCGAATCTGGGGAGCAGGGTGAGCTTCCGTCTATCAGCTCCAGCTTCTCATGTGGGGACATGAGAGAAGTCTCCCACAAGATGGTAAGACATCCAGGCATCCCCTGGGCAACATCTTTGCAGACAACCAATTCTCTCACATCAGAAGCGAGTTGCAGTTCCTCAAGTTGCTCCTGACACGAAAAAAGCACTTAATTCCTCTCCACACCTTCTTTCCAAAGGGCGTGTACATTATAACTATTTTCTTTGACCCAGCTAGTATTTATAGCTCCTGAGATCATCAGCAATGAGAGAGAGAGAGAGAGGCAGAAAAATGTTTAAAAAGTGTAATTTTGTACTTTTTTAAAAATGTATGAGCCGGAGAAAACTTCCAATTGATTTATGGGATCTGCACTTGCTAGAAATGGTTTCAAACCCATCAATTGCATATACATTTATGGATGTGAAAAGGAGCACAAAGTCCATCCTGCTGATGAACATGGCTGGATGATTTAAAAAATAGGTACAAAGATTAGTTGAGCCACTTTAGCTAATTTACCATGACTCCATTTTACTCTGTCTCTGCTGATCTAAATGATATGTGAACAGTAGCACAGCATCTCAGAGGAGGGAAATGGAAAATTAGGTGTGTAATTGCTGTTTACTACCAAAGGTATCTTGCAGAGGTTTAGCAAGGCATAGGGAGTTATCTTCAGCTGTACACTTAAGATAACTTAGTACTTTAGAAAAGCTTTTGCTTCAAACTTTAATTGAATTAGCATGTACACAGCTCAACTAATGCTTTAGTCAAATCTGTTGTTAAGGCCAATGTTAATTGGAGAAATCTATAAATAAGGGTTGTTTTCCCTCTGAAGATGCCAGCCACAGATGCAGGTGAATCGTCAGGAGAAAATGCTGCTACAGCCCGGAAACCACACAATACCCCAAGGGTTGTTTGTCATTGTTACTGTAGGGAGAGTTAAAAAGAAACCGATTAAATCCATCTTTCCTTCTAAAGAAAAGCAATATCTTAAACAAAGGGAGTGTAAAGATGAATAATTTGTCTTTCAACAGCAAGAAGTCCAATATAATGTGTTGTGGTGTGCCTTCCCGAAGGTGAACCTATAACATTTTCTTGGCAGATTCGCCTTTGCCTCCTTCTGAAGGTTCGTTTACACACTGTAGAATGAATGCAGCTTGACACCACTTGAACTGCTATGGCTTGTTGCTATGGTATCCCGAGAGCTATAGTTAGGAGAGATTTTTTTTTCATGTCAGAAACGACTTGAGAAACTGCAAGTCACTTCTGGTGTGAGAAAATTGGCCGTCTGTAAGGACATTGCCCAGGGGATGCCCGCATGTTTTTGATGTTTTATCCTTCTGGGATGCTTCTCTCATGTCCCCGCATGGGGAGCTGTAACTGACAGAGGGAGCTCATCCATGCTCTCCCCGGATTCGAACCTACGACCTATCAGTCTTCAGTCCTGCCGGCACAAGGGTTTAATCCACTGCGCCACCGGGGGCTCCTTTTTGTTTGGAATTGAGCCATAGCAGTTAAAATGGTGCTCAACTGCATTACCTGTTCAGAGTAAATGCACCCTGAGGCTGAGAATGGAAACCCATGTTCACCCAGTGGGTTTCCATGACTAATGGGGATTTGAATCCTAGTCTCCAGAGCTGTAGTCTTAACATTCAAAGCACTACATTGAGTGGGCTCTCAATGCAATTACATACTTTTAGCTTGTAAGGACATCCTATGGTGGCATTTATTTGTTTATTTTTATCCTGCCTTTCTCCTGATATAGGGACTTGAGATGGCTTTGTGCTATCAGAAAGCATCCAGGCATGATTACAGATTTTTCACTGGTCTCTCTTTCCTATTGCAGTAGTCCTCCATGTATTTATTATGAGTACAGCAGTCTTGAGGAGCTGTTTTGTTGAAGGGAGCAGAGTAATGGTGAAATTCATGATATGGCAAGGTTGATAATCAGGAAGTAGCTATTAACAGGTTGCTGTTCAACCGAAATATTAAAAGAAATATTGATTGCAATTCACTTAAGCTATGTATTTCTTTGTCAAATTAGCCTACCGTCAATGTTCATAAGTTACATGATGCACACATTTCTGTATTTATCAAGAACTCATAGCTAGAAATGCAGGATTATTTGGCATTTAATTGAGTCTGTATAAAAGGAAAAACCTTTTAACCCTCAAATAGGAACATAACTAATAATGAAGGATATTAGTAACAGACTTATAAAGGATAGTTTTTCTTGATTTCGAATAAGGGGGCATTCCTTATAATACATAAAACCTAGCAACCCTATGAATTAATTTGCCTTATGGGAACACAACTAGTTCCTGCTAGCACAAGGCCTGTTAGGCATGTGTTGTTTTCCCCATGCAGTAATAACATCAACAAAGTTATATATAGGGTTTTGCTTTGTGGTGTTTTTCCCTTTGAAGTTGTGAGATAACAGATGAGAAAAGTGTGATTTTTCTACAGGTCTCATATGTAGCATTACATATGCTAATCCAACACAGCACTAATGCCATGATTTTCCATCTCTTAGAAAGAATTTTATTTTCTTAATGAAAATAGCCATTGTGTTCTGTGTGCATTGGTTTTATTTTGTAAACAGAGCTAAAGAGACAGTGTTTGTTGTTGGTTTTGAACTATGTCAAAGTGCATTAACAGTAAGGAATGCCTCATTTAAATTTTTGACTTCCAATGTCAATTGTAACCATACTCATTTTACAGAGTTACTTGTAAGGATTACAACTAGATATTTGAAGGGCTTGAAAGTACAGCATGAAAGTACTATACAAAATGTTTGATATTATTATGAACCTCATAATAAATATCTGAATATTTATTGTGAAATTTTGGTAGTTTCAAGTTCAGTTATCTGGATCCATCCCTTTAGCTCTACAATTTAATGGTATTTGGACAACGTTTTTAGTTAAGAAACACTTATTATTTATGTTTTTAACTGATTTTGCTAAGATATTATATTATATGTTAATGTTTTAAATGTTTTATGCTGTTGTTGGCATTCAATTGTTGCCTTGTTAACCGCCCTGAGTCGCCTGTGGGCTGAGAGGGGTGGTATAGAATTATAGTAAGTACTAGGCAAATAAATAAATAAATAAATAAATAAATAAATAACACATGTAAAACTAAATTGATGTAGAAAACACTAGTTTAAAATGTATTTAAAATTATTGGGAGATGTGAATCTGCTTTTATTAATCAGGACCTCACAGAATTTGCTTTAAATTCACTGGAGCTCAACTAATAAATTAGAAAATCTTAAGAACTACTTCCTGTGGACATTTGAATGGAGTATGTTTGACTTTTGCTTTTAGTGGTAATTAATAGAAATTGTTGTTTTAAAAAATAATACAAAGTTTGATTTGTTAAGCAGAGGAATAGTTCTTATAGAAATGGTTTATACAATTTCAAAGTGGTGTTAAGCATAACTCAGAAAATATTATGAGATGGACTTTACTCATTTGCACTTATAATGTTGGTTAGTGACCTCAGTTGGAAATCAAGTTATTCTCTTATCAATATTTTCAGTATGTAGTGGGTCCAGTATTTAGTACATTACTTTTATCAGCTTCATCTCACTGTTTGGTAACTTGAAAAAACACAGCCATGATGATGATGATGATGATATTTATACCCTGCTTTTTCTTTCCGCAAAGGAGAAGAACTAGTTCTATATTGGAATACACAATAATACATTCCTTCCACTGATCTTGATGGTGAAGTTATTAATAAGTGTTTTTAAAAACACTTCCAGGTGGTGGATGCATCTTCCTTAAGCTGGAGCACAAGACTGAAAGGGTTCATAGCTTGTTTTGCTATTGGAGTTCTTTGTTCTATTCTGGTAAGACAATTCCTTCTTTTCTATCTCAAGAAGCTATTGCAAAATAAATCTTGGGCTTATTCTGTAATATCTTCCACAGTGAAAAACAATTGATTTGTAGGTTATCTCACTTATTTTTGAAACTGCTCTGTTTCAAAATTTTCCCCAGGAGTATCCTAGCCAAACTACAAAATTTGAGTTCGTATCGATTTTTTAAAAATCATCTATTCCTGTTACATTTTATAGCAGTTCAAACATGTAGATTAAATGAGGTCTACTCCAATATGGGTCCATGTTTGCAACGTTAGTATAATTTTAATGCAAACTTATTCAATAGTGGCTTTGCCTCAAATGAAAGTACTTCCACTTGTTTAAGTCTATGTACCCATTTTTTCACTGATCCTGCCTTCTTCCATTTTCTGTCACAATTCTGTTGCAGAAGGGTCCTCAGAAACAGTTTTGTTGGAGGGACAGGAGGCATGGGGAAGGAAACACATGGCCCAACCTATGTAAACAGAAGTGCTTTCTAAAACAGAGCTGGGGAACCAATGATATGGGTGGGCCTAGTACTTCTATTATTCTGCAGCGTTGCGTGGAATTGGTAGCAGCTGGAGTCCAGCACCATCTGGAGGCCCGCAGAGTCCCTAGCTTTGTGCTAAGATACAACCCCACCAGTTGATGCAACCAGTTGGTTGTAAGTTGAAAGAAACCTTTAGTTTTAGAATTCAACAGATAATACAGATAATAGAGTACTTGGTTAGACTATTATAAAGTGTAATGCTGAAAAACGAAGACTAACCAGACAGACAAACATGTGGCCTGCTTGGATCAGACCAAAGGTCGATTTTGACGAGCATTCTCATCAAACAGGTACTAGAAAAGAGGACAGCAACAGGGACATAAAACTTGCAATAGTATGGCCATCCCGACTAGTGACAGCTCTACCTTTAATTAATTTATTGAATTGTCTTTTAAAGCAATCACAAATATTCTTTTAGCAATTTCCATAGTTGAACTATGTAGTATAAAGAGGCAAGCACTTCCATGAATTTTAGCTTCTGTGGATAATCCTGAGTTGTAGTAGAATGGAGAGAGGAAATAAATCATCACACTAAGCATAATTTGTACAGGTCTGTTATGTTTCCTCTTACTTGTTTTCTGCTAAACACTCCAGTGTAACTATGTTGCAGAGGATTACAGCCTCAGAGTAGTTGCAAAGATAACTTTCACCTTCTTGAAGGAAATGACACTTACAAATATATGTTGTAATAATACATAGTATCTTAAATACTTAGGACCAAAATTGTTCGGAGTTTTATATTTTTATATTTTGGGATACCTGTATTTTCAGTTACATGCATAATGAGGTATCTTGGAGATGGTATCCGAGTTCTAAACATTAAAATCATTTATGTTCCATGTACACCTTATACACATAAGCTGAAGGTAATTTTATAGACAATGCTTTAAATACTTTTGTGCAAAAAACAACATTTGTGTATATTGAACCATCAGAAAGGGTCATTATCTTAACAATACCTTTGGATAATTTCAGATTTTGGAATATTTTGGAATTCTTTATTTCAGATTTTAAACTTCCAAATAAGGGATGCTCAACTTGTATTAAGATGTTGGTCCTGCAATGGAACAAAGTGTTGCAGTATATATTCCTCTTGGTCAGGATTCTGTTCATTCTATTTTGTCATATCTCTTTGGGTAGTTTTATTATTGTTTTCATTTGCATGTGCAAATTGTGCTATTTTGTGAACTACCCTGAGGACCCTTGGGGGGGGGGGGGTATAAAAATACCACAAATAAATAAATAAATAATTCCCCTGACCTGCTGATATCTTTCCCTTATGCAATGGGAGCTTTGTTTTAATTACCAAGGACCAACACACACTACAGATTTTGACTTTGTTCTATATATTATGCTTTGCCACTCCCCTTTTAAAACTGAAATTGTTATATAAACATGGATTTTCACTTAATGTTCTACATGCTTAATTATTCTTTTTTTTAAAAAAAAAATCAAAAACCCTAATGTATTGGGGAACTGAAACAAATTTCTTGTATAAGAATAGACAAGGTAATCTAGAATTGTTAATTTCTTTTCCAATTTATCTATGTTTTATTTACACTTTATACATCTATGGTTTTGATTGTTTCCCTTTTCAGGGTACAGGCCTGCTATGGGTTCCCAAAAAAGGACTAATCTTGTTTGCAGTATTTTATACCTTTGGAAATATCTCATCCATTGGAAGGTATTTGAAAGAGAATGTACAGATGGTCACATACTGTTAAATCGGAATGATCTAAATAGTTAATTGTTAAAATTGTTTATCAATCAACATTTTGATTGATAAAGTAATTGACAGGAGAATCAGATGTTATGCTTGTGGATTTTTGTTCATTTGGAGTATGGGAAATAATTTAGCTACTCATTTTCAGTCATTTTTGTAGCTTCTTTTCCAAAGAGTAGAGTTCTCTTCCTTTATAAAAAAAATACCTTTAGGGTAATATATAATAAACCATAGATTTTGACAATACAGCTGTGTTACTGCTTTAAGCTTGCACATGTTCTAAAACATATAGGCTACCACCTGCAGATACATTTAAGATATTTTAATTTTTATTTGTAGCACAATGTTCCTTATGGGGCCTATGAGGCAGTTGAAAAGAATGTTTGAAATGACTCGTTTGATAGCTACTATTGTTATGCTCGTAAGTACTGAAATTATATTTTTGTTTATATGTTACTTATTGGGAGCAGTATGAGATGCTTTTTCGGGTATGGTGGTCATTTTAGTTAGGGCTTTTTTGGCCATAATGAAGAATATAGACCAGGCATGAAACAGGAATCTTTTATGATGTGTGCCCATAAAATTTGTTTGCTTAGTGTATTGGACTAGCAAGAATGCTATCATATATAAGCGCAAAGCCCTAGATGCATTTGTTACTCTTATTGGCTATTCATAAGTTACCAACTGTGGTACATTTTACTTGTCTCTGTACTGGTATATTGCATGCACTATATTAGATTAGCCAATGTCAAGTATTCTGTTTTCAGTAGTGGTCTATATATCAGTGCCCTGCTCCAGTTATGGCCATGATATCCTGCCTGCTTTTAATACTTTTTTTCCTTTTAGCTCTGTCTCATATTAACGCTGTGTGCAGCTTTCTGGGTAAGTTCTTGAATCTTAGTAACTCATAATCCATTATACAAGGTTTAGAAGTTTTATTTGCTTGATTTGTGATTGTTTTTTTTTCTTGTTGTTAGTGGCATAATAAAGGACTTGCCTTGATCTTCTGTGTTTTGCAGTTTTTTGCCTTAGCATGGTAAGTAACTTCCCTGTATTCTCATACATCTTAACATAAATATGTAGCATTTGTCCATTTATAGTGATCATGCATTTTCAGCCCTTTCAGCCTTATCATAATGGAGCTAAACACCCTCCAATACATCCCTAAGTGTAGTTTTCCTATGAGATTCCTGTGATCTCAGATGCCATTTCCCTTTTTCTTTTTTGTGTGTATTTAATGGCCTACTTTGCCTTTCATATATGTTTAATTCTTTAAATCAATCACACAAAAATAACAATTTCAATATCATTGCTTTGTTTTCTTTAGCATTTTTAGTTACGTTCCTTAAGGCTCAGCTTAATTGTTGTAAGTCTTGTTTATCTTCAGCATTTGGTCCTCCTCCCTTTGCTAAAATGGTCTACAGCATGGCCCCCGTATCCATTGATTTGATATTCACTGTTTCCCTTGCCCTTGGTTCTTAAAAATATTTTCCTCCACTGCCCGTGAAGTGTTAATGGACCACTCTGAGTTCTCCAGTGTGATTCTACAGTATGCTTCTGCCCAAGTATAGTCAAAATACAGGGTTCGCTATGGTTTCAGGCATTTTGGGGGGAGTGTGTCTTGGAATACATCTCCTGCAGATGCAGGGCGATCATACTATCTATGTTTTAGTGTCTGTCTAGAAAGCTGTCACACATTGATGCCATTGTGAAATGAGTCTATGGCTTTTTGTCACATTTAATCTCTAAAGAAATGGTTCCTCTGAAAAGGTTTTTCTTCATTTTCTTGGCCAGTTTGGAGATTAAATGTAAGCACGTTAATCTTAATTTTATAAACATCATCATAGTTGTATCCCAAAAACCATGTGTGCTCTTTAGGAATTGTTTGGCAGGCCACAATGTATAGTTGATGGATTGACTGTGGCTTGAGCCACTTACTACTGTGTATGTAAAAGTATTTCTGTCTGTCCTTACTAATTAATGTATTTATGCTATCTATACTTTAGGTACAGCATTTCCTACATTCCATTTGCAAGGTAATCCTGACTTGCTTATTCAAGAAAATGTTTAGTTTATCAGATAGACACATTTCTTCCATGACTTTTATGGCTCTGAAAGTGTATGCTAACAATGATGAAGTATTATTTAGTGTGCCTCAGAGCCAGAAATTATTTGAAAACTATGTAGTTAAAATCTGATAGAGGAACTAAACCAATTCTCTTGTACAGTTGTAATGGCAATACATAATTGATAATGGAAAACCGAGGGTGTTCTATCATTTCTTTGTTTTGATATTTTATATAGTGCTATCAATTTGCAAGTTGCTTTACAGAGAAAAAGAGGATTGGTCCCTGGCTTGATAGCTTATAGCCTGTATTGGAAGATCCAGCAGCAGAAGCGGAAAGATGTAAAGGCAGGAGTAATTAGGGAAAGACCATGTAGCTATTTCAAACACACATAGTTTGGCATTGTTAAAGTGGGACATAGGGTGTATGGCTTTTTGCTCAAGCTTAATGAAAGAGTTGGTTTTGGGGAGAGATTTTTAGAGGAGACGGCATAATGCAGATTTGTGCATAGTATATCTATTCTCAGATGATCCCGCCCCACTCCATTATCATCAGCACTATTGGAAGACACTATTATTAGTAGGTTCTTGTAGGTTTTTTCGGGCTATAGGGCCATGTTCTAGAGGCATTTCTCCTGATGTTTCGCCTGCATCTATGGCAAGCATCCTCAGAGGTAATGAGGTCATTACCTCTGAGGATGCTTGCCATAGATGCAGGCGAAACATCAGGAGAAATGCCTCTAGAACATGGCCCTATAGCCCGAAAAAACCTACAAGAACCTAGTGATTCCAGCCATGAAAGCCTTCGACAATACACTATTATTAGGCCTAGATGCCTTTTCGAGAGGAGCTCCACCTCTGGAAACTAACATGCACAAAATCCTTGCTATCTCTGATCAGTGATAGCAGCAATTCTATTCCTGGCTTTGCTTCTCCACTCTCCCATGTTGGGAAGATGAAAGAGGAGCAAAACTGGCCTTTGCAACACCAATCTGAAACGCCTTAGCTTCTTTTTCCACTAGCAGAAGTGAAGCATGTCTCACTTGAATTTCCAGAAGGAGAGGTCCACAGTTCAGCCCATGGAGGGCTTGCAGGGGGAGAATCCAATCTCTGTGTTATAGAGATGACTGAGTGGTCGTCCCCATTCTGTGGAATTCCCATCTTAGAAAGATTTGCTTGGCTACAGATTGTTTTTGAAAGGCTTACAAAATGGGTTGTTTTCTTTGGCTTTTTACTAAAAGCTTTTATTACAAATGCAACCCCCTCTCTATATATAGTGATATAATATGTCTTGAATATCTGATGTATTGATAAACTGCAAATTTTAAAATCTTTGAGTAAATTAAATATCCAAGGAGGCAGTCTCTTTGCTTCATCAGTATTTCTCTTTTTTTGTACAGGGATGCTGTGAAGAAATGTTTCACAGTATGTCTCACATAACGGGCAGTTAAACAGCTTGGTAAGTGCTATAATATGGAATCGTACAGTTATACACGCCCCCTCCCCAGTCCATTTTAAGCAATGGGCATCTAGGTTTTCTGTAAATAATGTGTTAGGTATCTGTGGACTGAATCTAGTAGCATCATTTTATTATTGCAGTAGCAGAAATGCATTGCCAGCGTTGGCATAAGGGCAGGATCCAGGTAATATCCCCCTTTGCAGTTGGCTGTACAAGATATAGTGTGTGTTCTGTCTTTTGGATGTTTGTACAAGCCTTTAAGAATGTCTAGCCCCAATGGTCCTCAACTAATGACACAGCACTGCACTTTCGTCCCATGCCCTAGTTCATTAGCTACAAGTTGCATTATCCTATTCCCTTGTTCCTATTTACAGTTGGCCATGTTTTATGACAGTACTCACCATAGGTTATTGGGCACTGTTTTTGAGCTTAAATTATTATTTTATATGCTTTTGGTTTTATTTTGTATTGTATTATTTGTTTATTTTATGAGTTGTTTTAGGCACATTGTGAAATATGTAAGCTACCCCGATTCCCTTCAGGGAGATGAAGATGGGGTATAAAAATAAAGATGATATTATTATTATTATTATTATTATTATTATTATTATTATTATTATTATTATTGAGCTTCTCCTAGTGCAGTGGCTGAATCCAGTGCTATTAGACTCTTTTGCTTAGCCAGCATAATGTTTGATCTAGGCTGATGTACTGCTTTGACATACCATAATCTTTGTCCTTATGGTAAAGTCACAAAAGAACCTTTAAATAACAATATTTAAAGTTACCCTGAGGAATGTTCCTTGGTATGCTGTGAACGTTTAATGGACCAGACTTATTGGGAGGTTCTTACAAATTCAGTAAGAAATTTCTAGACTAGCATAAAATGGGTTGAGAGCCAACCTGGGGCAGTGTTTTGAGCACTAATTACATGTCTGGGATCAAATCTCAGTCATGGAAACCTAGTGAATGATGTGGGGCACATCACACACTCAGCCTCACAGTAAGGCTTTTGAAACTCCTTGCTTGCTGAGCAAATATTCTTAAGAAGGTGAACAGAAGGAGAACCAAGATGTGTAGCTTAACTCAAAACAAAGAATAGTGTGTGTTGAGGTGGGATCTCAAAAAGAAAGGAATATTTTTTTATACACAGAGTCTCTTATTTATAAAGTGTTGTTTGAGGATTACAACCAATGCCTTCTAAGTACTTACACATGTGTTTTTAAGTTCCTAGTTTGAAACAAGAAACCATGCAAAGGATGGATGTACTAATATAAAACTAGCTGTGGTGACTTTAGTCATTTCAAAATCCATTTTTGCTGCTTTTGTTTAGGCCAGCAAGATGTGTTTCATCTCCGTATGCTGAGGACTGGAAGACCACCATGTGACCTTTGCATCAGCACACACCTGGCTTCACACAATCTGTGAAGCCCAGGAAAATACCAAATATTATTCTACAAATCATAACAACCTTTGTGATAAGTCCCAAGATCAACTCCATTTTCCTTTTGTTTGCTTGTTCAAGCAACTATGTTGCCTGGTGCAAAGGTGTCCTTTTCAAATCATGCAATTTTGTTAATGAAAAGATATTATGGCAATCCCAAATAGATGGGAGTTGAAGTTTACACATTTTTGACTTATGGGGTCCAAAAGACAGTTTACAGATTGGATGCTTTTCTTAGCTAAGATTTCCTAGGGTTGTACATCTTTGTATCTTTTTAAAGGAGAAATCAATTATGGAGCCTTAAATCTTTTGCCTCCTAAAACATCTATAGCTACAGTCGCAAAAAAGAACTAAGTTACTGCCTTGTATCAAAACAGCAAGTGCAATTTTTATTGTAATATTACTTTGAATTTAATATTGAATAATTTTCCAGCCAGCAGCAGAAGCAGCAAGAAACAGTACCCATGGTAATGATAAAAGCAAACATGTTCTCTTCTGTTTCTAAAAGATGTTTACTATATTTCATTTACAGTCTCCTAAAATACCACCTAAGTCTGAAATAATGGCAACAGTTCTGCCTTAATGCTAAGCGTTGCCTTTTGAGTGACTTTTGCTGCTCCTTTTTCATTAAATTACTCTTTACAGTTGGTGAAATATGACTTTATACAGCCTATAAGCAGACTATGGTCCATGTATGGAATGTAATTTAAATAAGATATTTCTCTCCTCTGTGTCTCTTCTTAATAAATAATATGTGATTTCTGCTCACACCTTACAGATATTATGATTCTATGGATGCTATGTGTATTTGTTTCAAATTGTGCTTTCCCAATAAGACAATATCATGTAATGATTTGTTTGACTGGGCACTCTGAACTTTTGGATTCCTTTACTTTGATCCAATTTTGAAATAGTATTTTTTCCCCTGTGTAATAAAGGATTGAAGTAAGTCTGTGTGTATGTATGCATGCAGGCAGACTAAGTAAGTATTATGTGAGACCTGGGTCTTAAGAATCATCTTTAGCGAATTGAGAGAGAGAGAGAGAGAGAGAGAGAGATGATGTATATTGCATTTGACCTTTAATCAAATTCCCGGCTCTAGTGGCTTGTAGCACGTATTGTCTCTATTAATTATGGCTCCTACTCTGTACTCTCCCATTATATAAAAGAGACTAGTAGAGTGTTTTGAACATAGAAATTTCCCCGAATGACCAAGGAGAACCGGGATTTAGTCTAATTAAGTACACACTGGATTCAATATTTCTATCTGCATAATTACCTAATTGCATCTTTTTATTTGATAACCATCAGCTATTTTTAACTAGTAGTTTGAGAAGCTTAATTATCATACTCATTTTGCCATGTGAGCAAATATAAGGGTTAGAAAATTAGACATTTATGAACTATTTTTTAAAGGTCAGGATTCATGTTTTCCTGCTCTGATGTCAACAAAGTATCATAATTGAAGTTTGTGAGATACCTTGGTTTCAGTTTCCAGTGGATTCTCAATAAGCTGTTAGAAACCTAACATACTGGCTTCATGATTCATATGTGCACTATATATAGTTAGATAGAGGGGGAGAGAGCGCGCCAAAATCTGATTTATTAAATTTAGATGTACGGCCACTTGCCATTTTGAAACTGTAAATATTTAATGTATGATTGTGCCCCAAATGCTGTGCAGGATTATTCCTGTTATTGGTAGTTATGTGTTAGACAGTGGAGATTTGTACACACTATTTTGGAAACTGAGCATATGTAAATACAGTTACTAACCAGGCTTAAGAGAGTGATTATAGTAGAGAAGGTGGAGTTTTTCTGCCTGGCTTGTCTTATTCCATTGCTGAAAGAAGCCAGGTAGAAGTTGCTTAAAAACACACCACCCTTTTCTGCCACTAGGGCTAGTAAGACAACTTCTATGGCTATATGATGACTGAACTCTATGCATTTCTCAGAATTTTATTGAACAGCAAATGATGAGAAGGAAAGTGTAAACTTTTGAAGCAGTAGAGGGAGTTTCCCCTAAAAGTGAAGTACTAAAATCCTCCTAGGTCTCTCAAAAATGCCAGCCTAGCCCTTGTGCTAACTTGCCTTTTAGAATTGAGACAATAGTTTCTTTAGAGAGTTGTAGCAGTTTGAAAGAGTAATTGTTGCTTGTGATCTGCACATGGAATATCCTGTTTTCACTTCTGACAAACTGATATTTTTGTATATTTTAAATACTTACAGATGTGTTTGGCTGATAGATTAGAAAATAATGGGCGTTCATATAGTGAGAAGGGATGCCTGTCTCAGATCATTTTAGCTCTCAAACTATTGCCTGTCTTCACCTTTACTTATAGATGCTGCAGAACATAAAAAGATTATAAACTAACAGCTGCCACAACAAAAGTCTTTTGCTGGCATACTGCTTAAACATATATTTTGGGGGAAAAAGAACTTCAGAAATCTTGTCTAAATCATTCCTTTTCACAAATACATTTTTAAAAGATTCTGATAATCAGTGTATTTGTTTACAGAATGTGAATCTATGGGATAAATAACAATTGTGCATTTAACACATTTAGGCACGGATGGCAGCAATGCATTGTCTCTTCTAAAAAAGTTGATTCTTCACAATATGCACCTCAAATATTCACATGAATGCTTTGTACTAATATTTTTCTATTCAAGATCTTTCTCCAGCTTGGATGGCTTCTAGATTTTGACACTGCTATGTTTATAGGGTATAGCCTTTTCTATTTAAAAAACCTTAATTTTTTTTTTTGCTAAGGGTGTTGAATATTTGAAAAAGTATTTTTAAATGCCTTTGACTTGTGACTTTGTGATTATTTTCTGGGAAGGTGACTCCACATTAAGGGAGCAGTTTATACAGCCAAGTTTTCCAAAGAACTCAATTGTTTATGCTCTGAATCTTAACATTAAACTTTTGGGTAGGCCTTGGTGTTTTGGAATAAAAGCATTTTATCGGCTGTAGCAAATGGCCTGTTTCCTGTTCTCTGACATATTGCCCTGTTTTTAGATTGTCACTTTGTGGAATGGTAATCATGGAATCTTTTTTGCTGGACTCTTTCACACAACACTGTTTGGTTATACTCATTCTTTGCCTTAACTTCAATATTCTACTGCCACAGCCTAAGGCTTTTTAGCCGGTAAACATAAGGAAATCTATTTTTGAGATATTTTTTGGGGATGGGGGACAGACACAAAACATGCCTACCTTCACTATGTAATAGTCACATTGACAGAGATTTTCATACTGTAATTTTGAATTTTCAGACCGAATGAAGCTAAGTTTTGTAAGTATTTCTTTTGCCTGTTGCATCTTTTTGTACATGCTTGGATGGCCTGTCTTATGTAAAATAGCTGTTTGAATAACTTTTACAGCACCATTTCTTCTGTAATAAAGCTGGTTTCTCGCTATATGTTTGTCTCCTGTTTTCAATAAAGTCAGTGCTGCCAAAAAATTTCAAGAAATAGTGGAACTCAAAACAGACTGCAAAGTAATATTTGGGCAAGATACTAGTCTTTAATAATACCCCAATGAGAACTTTAATATTTTTTAATGTGTACTAGTGCTGGTTTAATGGGGTGGCTTGTATCTGAAAGTAGCTTTGATTTCTTTGGCTGGAGAGAGAATTCCAGTTTATAAACAGTTTGACGTTCTGCAAAGTATAGTAAAGAAAAAAATGTTTAATATTATCACAAACCCATCCTGCACTCACCACCCTTAGGATCTTGGCAGCAGAGTTAACTTTTTCAGAAATGTATCTGCTTTGAACTATATGAGCCCCATCCCACGTCCACTCCAGAGAAGAACATTTGTGGACTTCACCCCTGTAAAGTGCCTTGAGTCTCTCTGTCTTTTTCAGAGAGATAGCGAGAGAGAAAGAATAAATACATACTTTCCCAACTATCTTAATTAATCCTATTATCTTACTATATCAGCAGCATGGATGTTCCCATTTTTCTTCTCCCACTCTCCCTGTTTGTCCTTACTCACTTCAGTTGGAGGAAATGAAATGTTATGTAAATATGAACCAACAGTTAGGGTATCCTGGTACATCATTTTGTAGTCTTTAATATGTGCATAACAGATACGCTTTCCCAAGGCACTATCACTAGCAGAGAATTAAAAAATAATGATAAAGAGGAAATTAAAATGCACAAAGGTGACTCCTAGAAATTGGAAGTCTCTATGCAGTAAACACATGCATGTTCACTCACTGTTATTTTGCTGAGGATCCACAGAGTTTTAATTGTGGAAGACATCTGTCTACACTAGGAGTCCCAAGTGAAAATAAAGGCAATGCTCAAATCATGCATACTAAATATCTTGAACTTTACAAACCTCTTGAGATATCTAAAGTGAGGATTTGAGTATATTATCCAAAATTTAATAGTGTAATTATTTTGAATTTATATTTAAATGTATATAATTTATTGTCTTTTCATTGGAACTTTTAGAATTATGTTGCAAACTGCTTTGCATTCTGGTCCTCATAGAAAGAATTTAAATCAAATTAAGTGAGTTCTGGCCCCATGTTGCTGCTTTCTTACACAGAACTTTGAGCTATAGTAGCCCTGTATTCTCCATTTTGCACTATACTTGCACTGAGAAAGAATTTTTTCTTTGTTGTGCCATTTTCTCTGGAGTCTTACTGGGTCACTTCCTGTTTGTTTTCCTGGCTGATTTCTGAGCCAAGATTTTAGTTTGCTAGTAATTTTTAATGTCCAGATAAGAAATGGCATTTTCCCCTTTTATTTTATAACCATTGGCACCAAAGTACCACTTTAGTGTTCTTTCATGAGTCCTGTCTACACCGGGGGGGGGGGGGGGGGGAATCCTTATTTACAGCGTATTTCCATCCGATTCACCCGGACTCCCACTTTTGCCTATTTGCGCCACATGCAGCACACATATTGTCTTGAGTTCGTTTTAAGCAGTCACAGGTGTCCCCTAGGCAAACACATTTTGATGTTTTTGGAAGAGTCCTACTCGAACTATTGTTGGCCTCACAACAGAGGTTTCTCATCATATATGTGGATATATATATTTCTCCCAAATGTGTCTTTAGGCACCTATTAGGCAGACGTGTGCTAGTAATGCTATACTACTGTACTGATCTGTGAGTCCTGCATACACACTACATACACATAGAGACAATCTTGCCAGTGAATTTAAAATTCAGTTATGAGTCCACTTTTAAATGGCATGACGTACTGGTCTTTATCACCTCCCATGAATGAGTTTCAGTCAGCCCAACCCGTTTCCTAGTTCCAGTGTGAAGCTGCCTGTTGGGGATATTCACAAGAGGGGAAACAACTAATTCGGCGTTTTGGTCAGAATGTGGAGTAAAAGACGATAGTTAAAGTGATTTAGTAGTAAATAACTGACTGAGGAATGAATTGTCATGAACTTCATGTATCAGGATAGTGGTCAATAAAACATGAGTACTATTCATTTTCTTGAAGAGAGACCTATGAAAGGAATAGGAGTAGGTTGTGAAAGACCTGACAAACATATTTCAGCAAAAGTTTTATTCAAAACCATCAATGTGCACATGTGAAATGAAACAGGTAAGGTAAGCCTTGCATAAATAAACATGTTTTGTATCTCCTAAAGACCACTCAATTTTTAATTCCAAAATGCATCCAGAGATGATTTTTTAAAAATCTTGCTAGTAGCAGCGCCCAGCAGGGGGTGGTAACGCCCACTTTGGGAACCACTGTTCTAGAAGCATTCTCTCCTGACGTTTCGCCTGCATCTTTGGCAAGCATCCTCAGAGGTTGTGAGCATAGGGAAGTGTTCTCTCTAGGCCACCAGTATGATTCTGTGGTCAACATCCAGTAGCACTTCCAGCAGACTGTAAGATCCCTCAGAGTGGCACTATGATAATCAAAGCTCTTGGTGTATAAATGAAAGTGTTTTCAATGATCTTGTGTAGTACATGGGCCCTATTATACTTCACGGTCCTATTTTAACATAGATGGCACTAATTCTAGCAATACAATTAAAATAATACCTTTGAACACAATCAAAATACTACAATGAAATAGGTTTGAAATAATACAACTAAAATAATTAAAAATAATAAGCTGAAACACACACTTTGTATCATACAATAGATATAACAGTCTAAAATATATTTTATATGAAGGAGTCTTATGCATAGGTGCAAACAGAGATCATGGTTCCATCAAATGTGTTGCAGATTAGCACATCCTTGCTCAGGTTTATCAGTTAGCATGCCTGTCTAGAAAAGGTTTAGATCATTTCTTGGTTGATTAGCTGATCAAACTCAATCTAAAACTCTGAAGCCAACAGCTGCTCACACAGAAGAGGAAAAATTGAAAGGCTTTTTCTCTCTTTACCTGATATCTGATAGCTGTTTTTCCCCTACACAAACGTTTCTGCTGTCTTTAAAAAAAGAAATAAATAAGAGGAAATTTTTGATCAAATGAAATCCACGAGAAGCAAAGTCATTCTTTCCGTCTCGCTGGCATCCCATCTGAATGCGCTCTCTTCCTGTACGTTCAGTTCCAGAAGCCTGGGGAAACCAAATATCCATCCAGCATGACATCTAATGCCAAGTCATAATTAGGGAGGACAAAAAGACAGCTGCTTTGCTCATTTTTTTAATCAGGGTTTGACACCATCAGTGATTACTAGACTTTAAGCGATTTAGCAAAGATTAGTCTTTTCATTACTTTTTCAGGGATCAGTGTAGATAAAGGGCCAGTTATTTATGTTTCTAAAGGCTGAGATAGGCAAAGTGCAGGACTTATGCCCTGCGGTGATTAATAACTAAGAAGATAGTTGTTAATAGCACAAGAAGAGAGCTTACTTCAGTGAAGCTAAAAGAAGTATGGTTGAGCAGCTGAATGTCTTTTATGAAGCATGGAAGTGTCGAGTTTTGCTTGGGTTAAATGACTTGTTCTCATCCATTTAGTTGACAGGAGGTACCTGTTCCAGTGGGCTATGGAAACCAATAGTTACGCGGTGTGGTATGGATACTAGGGGTGTGCAAGGCTCAAAAAACTGCTCTGTTTGTCTTAACAAAATTTGACACCGTTTTGATTCTAAATTCAACCCCATTTTGTTTCTAAAGTGTTTTGAAAATATTTTAACGGATTTATGTTGGATCTATTATTGAGTTCTGAAAACTTAGTTATTTTTTGTTTGTTATTTGCCCATTTGCACCAATGGGAACACTAATGGGACTCCTTCTTCCCTCAGTTTTAAGGCTATTGAGATGAAGCTTGTTACAACTGTAGCACACACTTACCACTCTAAGCTTTCCAAGTTTCAGAACATTTCACATAATCACGGATTTTTTGGAATTTTTAAAAAGTTTGTATGAACAACTTAAAAAAAAGACCACAAGAGACATCTCCTTGCATTTCTATACAATTATACAACATAACTAGTGCACCATTCCTTCCAAGTTTCAGAAAATTTGTATATCCACTGATTTTTAGGGAATTTTAATCAACATAAACTGAACAGTACTATTTCACTGGAAGATGGGGGGGGGGGCATCCAGTCCAATCCCCTTTTGCCAAGCAGGGAAAGTACAGCCAAAGCACCAGTAACTCCAGTAAAATTTGGAGTTACTGCCTCTCAACTTTGCCTACCTCTCAGGGTTGATTCGACTCCCAACAATCCCCTTTTATCTCTTTAAAAGATGTGTGTTTATCTCTTTAAAAGTACAGAAACAAGTATTTTTCCCCAATCCCACCACCACCACGTCACCATCCCCAATCCCCTTTTATCTCAAAATTCCTTTAAAGAATGAACATGGGTTTACTCCCAACAAAACAAAACAGAGGAGGATGCACAAGATGATAAGCAGGGAGAGAGAGTAAACAAAAAAAGAAATGGGGAAAAAAAGCAAAAACCCATGTTGCCCTCTTTGCTTTCTCTCCCTTCCTTCACTCTTGGTCTCCGTCTCTCTCTCTCTCTCTCTCTCTGGGCTGCCCAAAATGATGGTTGGGTGACTCTGTAATTGGTTAAGCAAACTAACCCAATGGGTGCTACCCAATGCTTCATCTTCATTCTGGAAAAAAGTGATGGGTGGAGTGCCACAGGGTTCTGTCCTGGTCCTGGTCCTGGTCCTGGTCCTGGTCCTGGTCCTGTTCATCATCTTTATTAATGACTTAGATGAAGGGTAACTGTAGAAGGCATGATCATCAAGTTTGCGGATGACACCAAACTGGGAGGGAGAGCCAATACTGCAGAAGACAGTAGCAGAATTCAAAACAATCTGAACAGATTAGCGAGATTGGCTAAAACTAACAAAATGAAGTTCAACAAGGACAAGTACAAGATAGACAGAAAAAATGAAATGTAAAGATACAGAAGGGGGGACGCCTGGCTTGAGAGCAGTACGCATGAAAAAGACCTTGGAGTCCTCGTGGAC